CAGGCGGGCGGGCGCGGGTGCGCGTGATCTTAATATTTGCTGGCGATGATTAAAACCTTCTGAGAAACACTCAAACTGCACCCATTGATCCGCTGCTTCTCTTCCAGCCAACCCCGCCGCCAGCTGGCTCCACGCCCGCTCCTCCCGCAAAAAGCGCTGCCCTTACATCAAGTACCAGACCCTGGAGCTGGAGAAGGAGTTTTTGTTCAATATGTACCTGACCAGGGACCGCAGACACGAAGTGGCCAGACTCCTCAACCTGAGCGAGAGACAAGTCAAAATCTGGTTTCAGAACCGAAGGATGAAAATGAAGAAAATGAACAAGGAACAGGGCAAAGAATGAAAACAAAACACACAACAAAACAAACCAGAAAAGCAGCATCCTTCCCCCCCTCCCCTTTCTCCCCCAGCCTCCGCGGCCGCGCACCCCCACCGTGGTGCTGCCAAACCCCCCCGACACGAGGGGAAAACCTCCCCGTGTCCCATCTCCACCTTTGCATGCGAGATGTTGCTTATTATTCTCCTTTTATTTTATTTTATTTTTAAAAACCTTCTTAGCATTGCCACATCGGAGGCAACTTAGGCAAAACTGCAGCTCCTTTTTGGGGACACATGCTGGGTTTTGTTTCTGTTCTCTTGTTTTCTTTCTCTATTTCCCCCCCCTTTCCTCTTTTCCTCTCCCCACAGTGTACCGTAGACACAGGCTCCTGTCTGAGCAGCACTTTTCTCTGCTCGCATTTTCTCCATGGAAAGCAAGACGGCAAACACAACTGGCCACAAACAGAAAAAAACCACCAGCCCTGGCCCAAGCCCCCCCCAAACCTCGCTGTCTTTCTTTATCCACGTAAGGACAATGATTCTCTGTAACATCCCCAACACCCCGGCGCACACACTCACACACACCCTCACACACTCACACACACTCACTCTCACACACTCACACGTTGAGGTGGCCAAGGAACCAGACGATTTAATTAAACTACTGCAAGACAGACACATTCGTAAGACTTGCCTTTAATTGCACCCAACAAATCATTTTCAATTCGCCAACTTTATACCGGGGTAGTCGGTTAATGACAGCCCAACTCCCAACCGCGCTGGGTTTCTTTTCTTTTTTTTTTTTTTTG